GAGCGGCAGGGGCTTCAAAGCCCCCCCCTCTCAGGGGGACATGGATCCCCCAACAGCCTGGCCAGGCCTGCACCCACCAGGGCAATTTGGAAATAAAATGCCTCCTAAAGCCTGAGCAAGAATGACCTGTCCTCTGGGCAGCACTCCACCATGCAACCACAGAAACCAGTATCGGCAGCAATAAAAATTAAAGAAAATGTTGTAGGCAAATGTTACCTGAGGATTTGAACGCTGTCAGCTCTACAGCCTGAAAGGGGAGAGAACATTTGTTAGCAGAAGGTACAGGTCTGATTGCTTCGCTGCTGGCAACACTCCGGCGTGCTCCCCGGGGCCAGGCAGGGCTCCCCCAGCACCCAGCTGCTGCACCACACTCTCCCTCCCACCGAGCCACCGCACAGGCTGGGAACTGGAGCCTTCATCCCAGTCCCGAACTGGAGCCTTCATCCCGGTCTCCCAGGGCCGGTCACCTTGCAGAGCTGTGCTCTCAGCAGTGCCTGTGGGGTGAGCTGCCACCCCGCTCTGCTCGCCCTCTCCGGGGACCCCTCCAACCCAGTGGGCTGGCCCCCGTGCTGGACACCACAGGAACATCCAGGAGAAGAGGAGAGAGAACTTTTTCTCCTGCGCTGTGGTGGAAAGATCACACACAAGCCTGCACCCTGTGCTTAAGTGACGGTTAACGCTCCGTGGGGTGTGAAATTCCTGCTCTCAGCCCAACAGCAATAAATATCACCAAACATTTAAAAAAGCTGAAACACAAAGAACAACTCATCTGTGTTTGTATCTTCACTCGCTCAGTGTGTTGTCATTTTAAGTGTTTTCAAACGTTTTTAAGTAGCATCTTCTCTTCATCCAACCTATTGTGCAGCTGCCAGTGACATTCTTAATTCACCGCTCCTCCCGTGAGTGCCATGACTCATTTAGCCAGGGAGCAGGGAAAACAGCGCTGACTTACATAACCAAGGAGCACAGAAAGCAGCACCCATCCATCGGAGGGTGGCACCGCCCGGGGCACAGCTGCACCCACCACCTCTGCACTGAGGATGGGGCTCCGGTGGAGACTCCCCGCAGCCCGGGATCCGCGCGGGCAGGGAGCCGTGCCCCCCTGCCCTCACCAGGCCGCGTCCCCCCCTGCCCTCCCCAGGCAGGCACAGGCAGCAGCCTCACCTTTTGAAGGCTGCCGCATCCATGTTAGTTAGAAAGGAAACAAGTACATTAAAAATGCAATGTGTAAGCAGCAAAGATACAGCAAAATCCTCGGTGACCCTCACACGGAGGAAAGCACTTTCTGTCTTTGTCTGCTAGGAAATGCCACGGCCTTGGCATTTAGGAGATGTGCTGCCTCCTAATGCTCCCTGCCTTAGGAAACTCAGGCCCCTGGGCTAATCCCTTTGGCCCACGTCTCGCATCTGGTGCCAGGAGCTTAGCTCTGGTCCCGATTTACACAGCCAGCACCTGGCTGGCTGAGAAAAGCATCACCTGCGAATGAATCCCGGTCGGCATTCAGCGTGAGGGGAGGAACGGCGTTAACCACAATATAAATCATCAGAGATGAAAATATGGATTTTATTGAGTGGCTTCAAAACGATATGCCAGCTATAGAAGTATTATCTATTGGATAAATAAGAGCTGTCTATGTGACACAGGTTTTCAAAGGATAAATATTAGAGAGGGAGAGAGAGATCCTTCAGTGAGAGACTCATATGAAAGTAGTGTTGGATTTTATTCTGAGGAAATTACAGCACTTGTACGTCAAGTGCACAAGGACTGATGATCATTTCAATAGTAGGAGATGGAAGTGGTATCAGAGTAGTCAAATTTAAATTGTTCCCTGCTTTAGGCCATACCTCACTGAGCTCTACATCACACTCCTGTAGGCAGCACACCCCAGCCTGCCTGCCCAGCGCAGGGACAGCGAGCCCGATCTTCATCTGCTGTCCTGGGGGAAGCCTCCTGCCTGGATCCGTACCAACCCCCGCTTGGTGCCTTACTGGCTGAGTTCACTGGCTCCTTCTGTTCGTGTATGCCCCTGCTACAGTCACCCTCCCAGCACGGCAGCGGGGCTGGTTCCCCATCGGCTCGGGCGCAAGCCTTGGGAATTGGCCGTTCCGGGGCCTCCTCCTCTCCTGCCCCCTGAAGACGCGCTCTGCCAGGTACCTGCAGCTGCCCCAGCTCAGGCGGTGGCCTCCTGAGCTAAGCCCTGCCAAGGCAGGAGCTCCCGCCTGCCAGCCCGCCTTGCTCTCCACCTTATGCTCCTACGGATGACAGCAAACACGCAGTTGCATCTGGCTCGGCTACCAGGAGTGGCCACTATGGCCACGGAAACACACATCCCAAACCATTTAAGTTACTTAAATCAATACACATGCTAATAATATGCATTTTAATAAACCAGAGTCTTCAGGATGTGTATCAAAACCTTCTTGGTTTTGATAGACAGGCCGTGTGTCCGGACTGGCCCTCGGGAGGTGAGCACGCACGCTGTGCTAGCACGCTGCCGGGTCCCACCACCACTCAGCAATTTCCGTAATGCCCTGGGACGGAGGTGATCTGCATTCCTTTCATTCTGCGCACAGGGTGCATTGGTCAGGCAACTTCTGGGACTTGCTCAACATAAAATGTTGAATTTGTGCCTCAGCTGGTAACACCACCAGGTGCCCCACGTGCCAGCCTCTCGCTGGAACCGTTAGGCACCATTCCTACGTAACTGCTATGCTCCGTGTACGGATGAAGGTGGAAGAATAACAGAAGACATTACATACCGGTCTTTCGGGTGACATAATTGATGAAATCCCCATGGGAATTTTGGCTCCAAAGGTTCCTAGGGGGTGAAGCAGCACAATGAGTTTACAGACCAGATGGTAGAAATATTCACGCTTTACCAAGAACTTGGTGCTTTGTGTCCCCTAAGTATCTCCCACTGAAGCAAAGGGACCAAGCAGGTTACCTGCATAATTGCACCCACAAACTGGTTGGAGCATGCAACACCTTTTTTCCCCAAAGCTAAACCCCTATTTCCTACTGCCACCTTTGCCTAGCCTTCTCCAGAAAATTCATTTTAAGACACAAACACAGATTCTTGCCTCAAGAGAATGCAACGCTGCCTAACACAGTGATGAGCGCCCATGCCCAGCCAGCCTGCAGGCATGAACCTGATCCCTCTGAGATCCACAGGCACACCATCCCTGCCTTCCCCAGGAGTCCTTCATCCCCATGTGCATTTGCAGCACCAGACCCCAAGTGCTCACATAAGCAGAGTGTGCAAATGGGTTCAACGCAGTGCTGAGTGAACGTGCACTAAAATTCAAGCCTTGGGAATAACAATTTTACTGAGGTCTCATCACACAGCTTGGGCCAACAGCAACGGCAACCCTCTTTACCTTTGTTGGTGATGTTCTTCACTGGAGGGTCTTTCTGCCCAGGGCTCGACAAGGCACTCTCAGCTGCAGAGGGACTCAGTTTCCCTGTCTCCCAGGAGGTCGTGTTTCTTGGACTTGATAAGTAGTTGATGGGATGAGAGCAGTTCTGTAATGATGGGGAAGAGATTCAGGACAGTGAAAACTGCAACATGTGTCTTTGCTGGATCCAGGTCCAACTTTAAAGATTGATTTCATCTACACTGTGGCCCCTGGGACTTTGACTCCCATCCCACCCTGACACAGCAGGCTTCTGCCTGATCAGGGTAGATTATCTTCGGGTCTGCTTTGTCTGACAGGACTGTAAAGAACGGAGACAAAAAATAAAAGAAAAAAAGACTTCTTGCCAACATCATCTCCTCAAAGCAGACCAAACATACATCTAGGACCTTGCTCTGGTGGGTACATGATGAACGAAGCAGGGTTTCCTTGCAACTTACTGTGAACGAGAGTGCTTTCTTCTTGTCCTTCATCCTCTGGATGGCATTCCTCACCTGGAGCAGAGCAAGGACATTAGAGAGGGGCACAGCAGCTCTAGCAGAACAAGAGATCCTCCAGCAAGTCATGGAGAAAAAGCAACCACTATCCCAGCCCACAGTCAGGGTTATGCTGTCTGTCGCACCTACCACATTGCCAGCTACTCCCTCAACTGCTAATAAACCGTTGCTCTGAAGAGTGACTGAGCATCAGCCAGCGGCACCTCTTACCTCGCTGTTATAGATAGCATAGACCAGGAATATGTACAGGCCCTGGAAAGGAGAGAGCACAGGAAGGGTTAGAGATGTACAGCTGGTTGGTGCTGCTTTGCATGGGAGAAAATGACTTTGATGAGCACTAGAATGGGTGAGGACCACGCTAAGGGGAAGAGGCACAGACAGTGGGCACAGCACAGCCAGGGACAGCTGGGCAGGAAGGACCTCACTGAAAATCCCACTTGAGATCAGGCTCTTCACAAAGAGTCCAAGGAAGAGACAGTCCCTGCCCCAGTCCCTCTTCCTTCTCCTCTCCCCCCATTTCCCTTTGGGGAAGCGAGCACCTCTCACGGGGCACTCGGCTCCGTGAGCCTGAGCTCTCCTGCACTCCCATTCACGCATGCATGCAAAATTCCCCAGGAAACATCTCATTCCGATCTGAGAAGCAGAAACCACCAGGAGTTAATTGCAAGGGGAACTGAACTCTGGGAAGCAGACCTCCCTTCCCACCGAGCGTTGACCCTGGGGAGTGGGGGGGAGCTTTCGCCAGCTTCCAGCATGATGCTGGGGACAGTTCCCTTGTCCCAGGCAGTGACAGACCACAGCGTTAACAGGACCCTGTGACCCAAATTCAGTGGGATACAGATCCAGAGGCTTTGCTCAGCGCCAGTCTGGACAGAGCTTTCCCCATGCTGCCGGCATGCGGGGGCTCTGGCAGCACAATCTTGCCCACTCTCTCCATACCCGTCGAACTGGTGCTGTTCCGTGCACACACCGAGGACCAGCAAGCAAGGACATGCTCTGCCATAACGAAACGCTCAGCCACAGCTACGTGTGCCCTGGGCCGAATCGGGATGTGCTCCGGGAAAGTGCTCGGGGCAGGGCTGGACGAGCATCGCCTGGAGGCCACAGCCTGGGGCTAATTACAGCTGCAGACCAACGATTTTGGCCTTAAGGCAGCCCTATCTGGCCCACCAGATTTATGTTATATCTGTGGGGTGTTTGTTATCGCAGCTAGATAAATCAGCCGCAGCAAGAAAAGTAATCCATCTTGTCTTCAATGAGCCTTGCTCTTCATCTGCGAGCTCTTGGCAGGCATAATGGTAGCAGTACCCTGGCGCCGTGCCATGACCTGTCCTTCAGCCAGCAATGCTGGTCACTCCCCCAGACCAGATTTCTGCTCAGGCTGCCAAGGCAGGTCTTCCTTGAAATAATCATTCTGGATGAGCGCGGGGAGAGGGGGGAGCAGTGAGGTCAGCTGGGAGGAGAACAAGGAAGGAGAAGAGGCCCAGCTGCAGCGGCGGGCGGAAGCAGAGCCATGGCTCTGGAGGAGCCCACTCCTGCCCACGCTCCTGCCTGCACTCCTGCCTGCGTGCCATCTTCTCCCGGCAGGGCCCGCAATGCCCCGGCCCCTGTGGTTCCCCGTTCACGGCAGGGCAGGTGCTGGGTGGCCACAGGCGAGAGCGTGGCACGTGCCGGGACCCGCAGAGCGGGATGGACGCTCCTGCCTGGTGTCCATCCATCCTGCGGTGCCCTGCACACCCCGCCTGGGAGCAATGCTGTCCCTCACCAAAGATGGGTGAGCGGCTCTGTAAGTCCCTGCCCTGAGCCAGCCTAAGGACCATCCTTCCATCTCTACAAGTTCAAATGAACCCAGCAGGTTTTACCTACGCTTTTTGTTAACAGCAGGCACCTCTGCCCAGCGTTCTGTGCTTGGCAGGGTGTTGGTGCTGCTACCTCCAAAATCGTGGGCTGGAGGGAAGGTGCTGCCGCCTGCTCGCCAACCTGTGGGACAGCCACCGCGGCCACCTCCGGCACAGCAGCGCTTGGGGTGGCTTTTCAGTCTCTCGGCTGAATTGCTGTGCTGCCTGGCTGGAGAAGGAGTTGTCATGTTTGGTGTCGACGCACAGAGTAACCTTGAAGACAGGCTTTGCTTTCCGCAGATAAACAGAAAGCAGTCAAACAAACAAACAACCACAGCAGCAAAACCTTCCTGCACAAGACTCGCATATGAAGAAGCATGCTGGCCTTAAAGGAAATTCCAAGGCGATACATAAGACAGTCAGCAAAGGGGCTGAAATGGGATGGGTTTGTCCCTGCTTTCTCTCAACCCCAGCTTCCCACCAGCATTTCTCTTCTGTGGTAATCTGCAAATTAACCTGAACTTGGTAATAAAGGGACAGAGGCAAACAAGCACAGCATATTCATGGGCAAACCCTCGATTGTCTGTCCACACAACAGTCACGGCTCCTACTGAGCTTTAGGAGAAAGAACAAAAGCAGCAATAACTTAGAAAGTAAGGGAAGAAAACAAATCCTGATGCAGCAAACACCTCAGCTCCTATCTCACCCAAGGTGGACATTGTCATGGTTTGTGAGAGAGAGTCTCAGGAGATATATCATCCAGAGGACACATTTATTCATTTCAGGAGTTACTCCTTGTCTCTCAAAACCCCATATGCCTAGCATCCATGTTACAACAGCCAGCATCCCACAGCCCCTCTGCTGCCACTAGTGATGAAACAACGGCTGAGTGAGCTCTGGAGGACGTAGGCTGGACACTGACATTGTCAGGCCATGGTCAAGGGGTATCAGCAGTCACTGAACCAGGGAACTTGTCGTGGGATTTTCCTCTCCAGTGCCAGGTTACAGAGGGAAGAGCAGGTCTGAGTGCTACTGGAAAGCAGCTCTCCTGAAGGCTATCCAAGCCCAAGGTCCTCAACAGGACCTCTCTAGTGTAACATACGTGCTCATATTTTTACAGCACGAACACTGAAGCAAGGCAGAGATGGTCAGGATGGTGCTGGGATGTTGTGCTCTGTTCTGCCTCCCCACTGGTATTGATGGAGTTCACCCAAGCTGAGAAATATTTTTTTTTTCTGTGAATGAAAAGACGCTGGGGCTGTTCTCAGCTCTGCTCACCTCATCTCTTCACAGCACTGAGCCTGGAGTTCTCTTCTGCTCAATAACCTAAGCATGGCATGAGGAGGCAAGGACAACGGGTGCTATATTTAATTACAGTTAGGACAGGCGTCCTGCCACCCTTCTGATATCCTTAATAGCAGAGATGTGGAGAGGCGGTCCTTGTCTGGCCTTGGAACATCCCATCTGAGAGCCGACGGATGTGCGTGAGCAGCACCCGGCCGCTGGCCCGGCGCCAGCCACAGGCAGAACATCCCTGGAGTAACCACCCATCTTGTGCACGTGGTGATAACGCCTGCATTTCACCCTTGGAGAGCTGGGCCAATGCTACACTGAAACTGGCCAAGTATGCCAGAGGGAGCATTGTGAACTCTGCTGCTCCATACGTGACAGCCATGGTGGGGGACGTTTTCTGTTGCATCCAACAAAAAAAAGGGAGATAGGTGGAGAACTCTTTGGATCCCAATGGTTTGGAGGGCAGTACCCTGTTGCTCTCTTGACTTGGATCCCCTGGAGTAGGATTTGTCCTCAAGCACTGGGCAAGGGACTCTGAAAAGTGTACCCGTCAATACCCAGTGCAAAGGGACAGGAGTGACTGCGTGGGTAACCCAGGCGCTATTTGTGCCGGCATAGTCTCAGCCCCAGGGGCTGGCCAAGTCCCTGTGGTTCCCTGGCCGGTTCCCTCCCACCGCCACCTGCAGAGGCACCAGCCGCCTTGGGACCGTCAGGAGCGGGGTGTTCAGCCTTGGGACTGTCAGAAGGAGGGGTGTTCAGCGTTGGGACCATCAGGAGCAGGGGTGTTCAGCCTTGGGACTGTCAGGAGCAGAGGTGTTCAGTGCTTCTCTAGCTCCATCTACAGCTGCTTTCTCTCGAGGAAAGCTTTCGCCAACAAGGGGGCTGATGCTTTGCATCACAGGTGGCAAGCACATGTGCTGGGACTTTTTGTCACCATGTGTCCCTGAGTTTCAGATATCCTGAGGTCCTGGGAACTGTCCTATCTCCATGCAGACCTGAGCACTCCTGGCTGCTGTGACTAATAAAATTGGCTTTGCTCTCTTAACCACATAGATGGTTAAAACTTTAAAGTCTTTTGATGAAACCAGTAAACTTGGAAGCAAATATTAAGTATAGCTTTATACACCAGGGTCACTTTGTGCCCTACAGAGATCCCTGTTAATACTAACATATTAACAACATGACTCTGAAGTCACTTAGCATTCAGGAGTCACAGCCATGGCCCTGGAAGACACCAAGGCAAGCAAACAGCCTTAAAAATGTAGCCAGATGCTACCTGAAGAAGAATGAAGGGGCTGAAGAAGATGACATGACTCACCCAAGGTCTTGCAAGTCAGAGCTAGAAACAGCACTCACACTTCCAGCCTCCCCGTGCGAGGCTCTGATCAGCAGCCCACATCGCAGTCTGTTCCACCTAACACTCCTTCACCCCATCAGATTCCAGTGCAGCTCTCACTGGGCACTGGAAGCATCCCTGCGGAGCAGCTGCATGGCTGCAGATAATACAGATTTTAGGGGTAAAGATTTTCAGTCCTTGATTCTTAATCCTTCTCCTCTCATCTCCCTGCAATAAAGCGGACTTCCAGGCAAAGGGAAGGTGGTTCTGCCTGTACGGTTCTTAGGACACAACCTCTAAGTATGTATGAACGTGAACTAGATGACAAACACTCATCCTAGAACACACAATTATCCATTAAACGACCGAATCAAAACTGATGAAGTTCCCTACAAGCATGCCAGTTTGTAAGTGTAATTTGGAAACCATGCTAACGTCAAAAAATCTAACGTGAAAAACAAGATTTGAACTGGAAAGCTGTGGCACCAGTAAGACACTCCAGAGACTGGTGCTGAAGGACCATTAGAAGAACAAGGTCTCCAAGGCTGTATTTCCTGTCTTGGGAGCATGAACTCAATTTCCTCAGACAAAACAGCACAGTGACTGGGGAAAGCTGGGCTTGGCTTCAGAGCTGAGAAACATCCCTGACTATTAGGACAGGGAGAGTACACGGAAGCACAAGAAATGGCAGATACCTGCTTGGCTGTGACATGAGGATCCACCTGGCACAGGACTCACCTGAAGGGAGTTCAGCACGATGAAGACATAGGCCCAAATGATGCTGAGGTGGACAAGGACCCCACACACCCAGGTCAGCCCCAGCACGGGCAGCAGCACCAGGATGGGCTTGGCCGTGGCCCTGTCAGGAAGAAGAGCTCAGGTTTACCTGGGTGCATTTCAAAGCTGAAACACTGGGCACTGGCACCCACCACCCAGCCACCAGCTCTCCATGGGGGTCCCTGTTGTGCCCCATATCCCTGAGCCCAGGGTCTCGTGGCAAAGTGCCCCAACCTGCCAAAGTCCTTCCTGGCTCTACAAACCCTGCCCAGGGTCTTGCCATAATCTGCCTGGGGCATCTTGCACCAGGTTAGCACGTAAGTGGATCTGCCGTGGAAAGAGCTCCATGGGTTTAGGAGCACCCTGGCCTCTATCTTGCAGTTTAGAAGAAACTTTCCTTGCCTCCATGCTGGAGACAGCTCTCCTCCCCCAGCAAGTGCCTTTCAGACAACATGTCCACCAAGAGGCACCCAAGATGGGAGCTATGGAACAAATTCCTTTGCAAACAAAATCAGTTGAGAGGGGAAAACCCAAATATTTCACCTCCCAGCCCCCCGTGTGCCAGCCCTGTTCTTTATTTATCACTGAGAGTTAGCAAGAAGGAAGCTCTTTGACGTCATTAGCCATGAGAAAACAGTTATTTTCCCCAAAATTGCTGCTACAAGGAGGACTTCTGTATTTGTTTTATTAGCATATGGATGTCACCCTGCCCTCCAACAATGCCCTATCTTTGTGCTTCTGTAAATTTGGGAAAATTTATTTATGATACAGGGGAACAATGCGTGTCTAGCAGGGGTATTCGGCGCCAGCTAACAACAATAAAGATTCACAGAGAATGATAAAGAAATTACTCAAACAGCAGTTTTTTAGAGGTCTCTCTATATTGACTGATTAGAGAAGTCCACACTGCCTCTCCTTCACCATGACTGTAATCCCTATCAGTGTTACTTTCAGTCCACCAAGTCCCAAACTCGTACAGAAAATGCTTTTTATAGTGGCAAATAGCCAACCCCCCTGCACTCTCTACAGCTGGCATCGTTCTGCAGGGCACACACAAGTGCTAAGGAAGGGTTGGGGATGAGACAAATTCAGTCATGACCCCTTCAAATTGCAACGTTCTGCGAAGCGGAGTTGCTTCTGTGGCTCAGAGCTCTATAAAACTCCATGGAAACTGGGAACTCAGTTGGGTCCCTGGGTTCCTTGAAACACCCCAAGCTGCTACCTCACTTCCCTACGGTGATGTTCTACAGGACATCTGCATGCCTGCCAACAAGGGGCTTAGCAGCACAGCGGGCTGATGTTAGCAAAGGGGCAGACAGCAGTTTCAGCAGTGTCACCTGCGTTCCCACACACACGACACCACCGCAGACGATGGGGATGCTCACACCGGCCATTCCCAGACTCAAATTGTTGCTCCTGGTGATGCCAACGGGCCCAGGGTAGCTTTGCTTTCAGCAGGCACTGCGAAGGGTCTCTCGTCCCAAAGTGCTGAGATTTTGGAGTGCGAGTGCACATGGAGTCCAGTACCGGCTTCCCCAGGCTGAAAGTGCTGGCTGGGCTTCTCAGTGGCATAGACATCAGAGCAGACAGACTACCTCTGGGAGATGCACAGTGACCCTGGAGCAGAAAAATCCTTTCTGCCCTGACTCCCCCAACTCATGGTCTTTCACTTCGCCAAGGCAAAGACTCTCAGCTTAACAGTAATTCCATCATTTCATAGCCCGAGCAGCCACGGCTGGGAAAACCAGCCCCTTCCCTGCTCACCATATCTGTATTCCAATCTGGTTCTCCAGGCTGCTGTTGGGTGTCAGCATCTTCGATCTCCTGCGAGCGCTGGACACAGTCACCATCACCACCCGGCACAGCACGAAGGTGTTCACCTGTCAGAGAAGAGCCATCAGACCCAGTAACCTTCTGTAACCTCAACTACAGTGGGGTGAGTCTTTTCTGCTGGGAACTCAGCAACTGTCAGAACTTGGGGAGAAATGTATCACTCCTGAGAAAGCAGTGAATAAAATACTTCATAGAGTTATCCACACATACATGAAGTCTATAAAACTTATCCCAAAACTTCTCCTACAGAATGTCTTCCATGTTAAGTGTCTACTCTGGACCCCTTAAATATTGCACCTTTTTCTGCTACTATGCTGTCTGATGGTACTGATACTACTTCAGGCATGTAGATGTTCCCATATGACAATCAGATATCTAGTTAAGGCAATGTCACAGTCAACCTACACATTTATCTACATTCCTAATTTAACAGCCAATACAAGAATTGGTCAGCAAAATTTTCTTAAAGCACTTTTTTCCTATCAAACAGCTACTTTGGTTAAAGAGGTGTTGTGAAAGTATAAAGCATAACAAAAGGTCTCCAAAAGCAGCAGGCACTATGAACCCCACGAGCAAGCACCTTAGCTAGAGAAGCACTGACACCCCTGACTCTGCAATGCTTTCCTGAAACCAGACACGAAGGAATCACACCTTCCCAGCAGGTTTTGGCACTTACGGCCAGGATGAAGAGAACAGGCCCAACAAAGGCCCAGATGACGTTGGTCTGAACATTCAGCCAGCAATGGTTGTCTGCCACATACTTGTTAAAGGAAGTTGCGAGGGTCACACCCACGATAACGACTGGAAGGCCTGCAGAAAAACACACATATTAAACTCCAGGAAAAGCAGAGATGACCCACGCAGGTCAGCTGTGCTCTAGACAATTGCTTCAAAACCCCCATGACCAGACACGCTCTGGTGTGAGGCAGCTTAGCCTCTGAAACCCCATGAGCAACATCAATTTACTGCAGCTGAAATCCGTCCCGGCTCTGCAAGACCAGATTTATACGCTGTCAGCATCATTCTCCTAGGTATAAAGCATTCCAAGTCCTGATCAAAGCAATTTACTCCTTAGATTGCTTTTTTAACAAAATGGACAATCAAAAGCAAAACAATCCAAAATATTTGCATTAGTTGCCCAATGTCCAACTAGGTGTGTGTTTTGCAAGGAGTGCTGACCTAAAGTGATATAAAACTCAGCTTATTCAAATGACTTCTATGTCCCTAAAGGGCTCACTCAGAATAAAGAGTGCTTAGTCAGGAACATATTTATATTGTAATTACTATCAGACAGTAGTAATGCTCTCCAAGAACAAGAACTTAGCATAAACTTCCTCCTCCATTTTTTTGTATTGAACTCTTGGATTTACAAAAGCAACAGAAATGCTTTTTAATTTATATTCTAAGACTGGCAATTTGACACATAAAGGTAAGAAAGGCTCTGCAGAGCAGTGGCACCCAGCTCTCACATTGAATCAAACCAAACATTTGGGAATCTCTCTTATCGAAACTTTTGCTAGACCAAGAATTGACACATCTTTCTGAGCGCCCAATGCAGAGACGTTGTAGGTACCCCAGCCTGTCACATAGTAGAACTTCATTCTCCTGTCTTCACTCATGTTAACTGCTACCACTTTGCTCCACAGGAGAAGCCCCTCTACCAGCATCCACGAAAAGGCTGCCATGAAGAAGAGATGAAGGCAGGCAGTGACCATGAAACACACCACCTGGAGAGAAAAGAAATCATACGTTGGTTCAGGAGGAGTCCTCTGGGAGCTTCTGAGTGTCTGTGGTCAGGAGGAAGGGAGCAACCTGCAAATTATGCTGCAGAATGTGCAGAAATATATTTAAACATCCACAAGCACCAGGAAGAGTTCTTAAAATTGCAGCACACGAATAGCAACTGCTGCAGCTCACACTCATTTCATCTGTGTGACCATTCAAACCACAGAAGAGGAAACTGATAACATCTTTTTCTGCTGTTCTTGGACTTTTCTTGCAGGTCTCTCATCTCAGAGCTGCTTGATCCAGCCCTGGGATGTGGAAGAGGACACAGAAAGGGACAGAACTTATGTTGCTGTTTTATAACTACTTACATTTCCTGAAGGATTTTTTTGTCAGCAACAAACTGTCAGAAAAAAGAGGTGAATTTCCCTGACACATTGCACAATGCATATATGCATATCACCCAACACAGAGACACAATCCTTTCCTAGATGCAAGTTACAGGTAATTACTGAAACATTAATGGAAGGGATTACACTTCTGTTCTGTTTGCTCTGACAATAATGCTTGCGCAGGCCCAGTCTGGCTGGCCGAACAGGACGCCTTCTGGTGAGCTTACCTGGTTGGTCTTGGCCAGTTCGCTGAACATGAGCAGAGCTTCTGCTGCAGCTAGTGCAAAGATCAGGTTCTTGTGCACGGTTGTTCGTTCACTCTTGGGGACACTGAGGAAGGAGAGAGGAAGCCCTCAGCTGCCGTCAAATGAAAGGGTGCACGTGTTCTCACTGGTCCTTGCTGGGCTGTGCAGACCTGCCCGGGTGACCTGCCATCTCTCTGCTACTCACTGCACAGGCGACAGACAAATGCGGCAGGGGACTGCCCTGCTGTGCGAGCGCTTGGTGCCGGGGACACGCGCGGGTACGGCTGCTCAGACCTGGGCAAGTGCTCCAAGGAACGGGCAGCGAGGAGGAGGTGGAGGGAGCCACTGCCCTGCTCACAAGGCAGATTGCTGTGCTTGCCAAGTGACACAGAAGAGCTGGCAATTGAAGAAATAGTCTTTGCTCCATTTATTTTATAAAAAAGAACTGTAGCAGAGCAGCTTTTATAGTAAACATTATTGGTCATTGATAAAAATCTTTCCGTGGTCACTCCGGTGTGCACGCAGCTCAAACCAGCATCTCCAGAGAAACAACCAGCACCGCACCCCCTCCCCAGCCAACGACAACCACTGCCCTCCCTCCCCTCCACTACCAACCACCAGTGCAGCTCCCCAGCCTCTCCCCACACACCTGCATCACCCCACACTGACAAAGGATACCTTGTTTGTATACTTGTTCTGAAGCAAAATATCAAACAAAAAATACAGAGAAGGCTACAAGTGCCTGGACTTTTCTTACCCAACTGCCAAGAATAAAATGAAGGTAACTATCAAGGCACAGAAGGAAACTCCACATCCAATAAAAGTCAAAGTCTGCAGTGTGAGCTCCTCCTTGGTGGTCCTCTGCTCCAAGCATGAAACAACAGGAGACACAACCCCCCCACAAATTAACCACAGACTACTCGCCGGTCTGGCATCCACCCCACAAAGCGGCAGAGAAAGCTCCTCGCTTACCTGCATCTCGTACACCTGCAGCAGGACAGCAAAATTCGTGGTGTGGTTGCAAAAACAGGCAGTGGAATCCAGGAGAGATGTCACCACGGAGCAGCCAGCTGTGGACCACATCCCACCAGCATCTGGGCTAACATGCAGCAAAAAACAGAGAAAACACATAGAAAATACCATCCACTTCAACAGAAAGCCAAGGTATTAAGGAAATTTAATTCTCCCAGAAGAAGCAGAGTTGAAAGCAGGAAGAAGAGGGTATCAGAGAGAGGTCTTCATATGGACTTCCCTTTGGCTCATCCTGTGTCTCAGCAGATTTGCCTTATCCACCAGGCATGCACAAGAAAACAGGTCTAGTGTCAATGTGCGCATTAATCACTGCTTTAAAGAGAACTCAGTAATTGCATGGGTCTGGGAAGAGCTCCTTTTGCAGCGCATTCACTGAGAGCACCACTGGACCAGGCACGTCGTCTCCATCACCCTGGCCTGCCAGGTACCCCGTGCAGCTCCACCAGACTCCTGATCTTCAGGACAGGACAGCCTGTCTTCAGGCAGCCAGCGGCTCTCTGCTGCCCGGGCAGCCAGCAAAGCTCCAGGTCTGAATTCCCTGTGCAGGGACCAAGGCTGCAGCGGGTCAGCTCTGTCCTCACTGGCAGCACTGCCCCGCTGAGCCTGCCCCAGCACCACGGGAAGGTCAAATTCAGAGCAGGGCTAGTGGAACTCTGTGTGCAGTAACCCGCTGCTTCCGAAACCACCCTCTTCCCACCTTCCCCAAACTGATCCATGCCTGTTACAAGACTGGGACTGTAAGGAGGTCTTTTTTGCACTTGAACGACTTAATTACCAATCCATAATATATCACAGTCACAGTGCTCTCACTGCGGTGACATTCAGCAAAAACACTCCATGCCAAGCAGTATTTATGAGGCTGGGAGTCCTGCATGTCCGTTGGGCTATATATCTTGGACCAACTCTTCTTTGTTGCAGGCAACAATCATAATTAACTAGGGCTTTCCATTTTAGTTGTATATACCTCATTAAAGGTCACTTGCTTGTGAGTGACTTTTCCAAAGGAAATCTTCCCAGGAGAGCACCCTGCTCCAGCAGATAGAGGATGCCAGCATGCAAAGCAGGCAAAGCGTTACAGATCCCTACTCTTACCATTACACTTATATCATTATGTTTGGTTTTCCAGAGGAAATAAAAGCTCATAAATCTGGGGAGCCGAACTGAAACCAGGCACCTGAGGCTGAAGTTCCAGAAGGCGCAGATGGGCCCCACCAGCTTACTGGGTATGTCCTGCAGGCAGAGAGGGAGAAGAAGAGATTACACAGCCAGACATGTACTGTATGCAGACTGATGCAGTTCACTCACTAGGCTGCAACAAGGTCTGTCAGCACAGGACGAACACCTCCCCAAGGAAACGGGAGTCAAGGAGAGAGACCTGGGCACACGACACCCCTAAGTCCAGGACCTCTGGGGGCCTGGTGCTGAGGCTGGGCACAGCCTGCCAAGTCAAGCTGCGTGATGCTGCTGGCGGGGAAGGCGGCTGGGAAGCACGGCCCCTCCTCAGGGTACCTGGACGCGGTGCTGCAGGCGGTAGTGCACAGAGGTGCTAATCTCCTGGTAGTCGCTGAGCAGAGCGGATGAGATCACAGCAGTGCCCACCGTGGTGCTCAGGTACCTGTCAGGGAAAGCATGCTGCTCACAGGCACAGGAACCACAAGATGCACTCAGAAAACAGGCTCTCACGTTATACAAGACAGTTGGAGAGATCCGGAGCCACTTCTGGAGTGCTTCAGTGCCACCAGCAAAGGGCCTGGGCACAGGGCAGAAGGTGCCTCAGATTACCTGACAACCAGAAACCACCACCGCTGCCCTGTGACCGAGGAGGTGACCTACAGATGCGGCACTGGGGCATCCCAGCGGCCGGCAGCTGAGCAGCACAACGGCTGAAGGAGCGGGGCGTGCGCTGGATGTG